CCTTCTCTCAATACCTTCATCTCAAGCCTCTATTCTGTGTCTAACTCACCTAATATAAAGGAGAAAAAATTCTAGCTCAAGAATATCTCTGAAGTCTCATCACAAAGATGTCAAGGGGCTGGATGATGGGGAAAGGCAAGGGGAAGTTTGGGATTCTGCTTTCAGGCCTTGGCTTGAGCCTAGGGCAGGGGCCTTACTAACCTAAGGTTGTCTGGGCAGGAGGGCAGACAGAGCTCCGTGTTAGGCCCTCACAGTGCTTGGTGTCCAGGGCTCTATCTCCCTCCTTCTCCAGCACTAGAGTTTATTCCAACAACTTCCACCCGAGATCCATGACCTTCCCAAGCTCCATCTTCTTAACTGGCAGGGTGCTGAGCAGGAGAGGAGGTGGATGTGGACTACCTGGGAAGTGGGCTGCTGGCCGGCCTGAGACTCCCTGGACGTGGGACCCCCGGAAAAACAGCATCAAGAAAGGAGCACATGGGCGTTGCTGCTCAATGACATCAGGCATTCTGAGAGAAGAGTGATTGCTAAGTGACTTTCTCCCATGATGGAGTTCATGAGTGGGGAAAGTACCCAACAGCCCCATAGGGCACAGGAAAGAATGATCCCCTCTTCACTGGCCAAGGACAGGAGTCTGCCCATGATCCCTGCAGCTCCAGCTTTCTCTGCTCGTCTACTTATTTAGCCACCAAGACTTCCTCTTTAAGAAGTCCTCCCTACTCCAAACCAAGCCCCAATCTCAATGCCCAGTGCTAGGAATTCACCCTCTTGGGATTAGACTTTCCCAGGAGATCCCTCAGAACCTCTAGCTTCTGATGGCCAGTCATAGTAAATGTTCAAGAACTTCTGAGACCAGTGAGACCAAAGAAAAGTAGCCTTGTTCCCTTCCCTAAGCCCTGTAGGAGAGTCTCAGTCTGTGCGGATGAAACCACATAGTAAGCAAGACTCTAAGACAACGGCCTGTGTTTTGAGAAACAAAGGTAGGAGACACAGGGACACTTGTGGGCCAGTTCTCAACCTAGGACCAGACTAATGGGTTGTCTGGGAGAGACACGCTCTGCCTGGCCACACTTTGGCTGGAGAAGCTCAAAGGCAGAACCACACAGACTGGTCTCTGCCCTGGGCCGTGTTGGTCTTATTGGTCTGGAATAGGGGACAGGCACCTAACCTGTCTTTCTTTTTGAAAAATTACTTAGTTGTTTTATTGTATCTTATATGTATGAATGTTTTGCTTTCGTGATTGTATATGCATCCTGTGTGTAACTGGTGCCCATGGAGGTCAGAAGAGACCGTTAGATTTCCTTAGAACTGGAGTTACAGGTGGTTATGAGCCACTATGTGGGTGCTGGGAATTGAACCTCTGGAAGAGCAGCCAGGGCCCCTAATTACTGAGCCATTCTAGTGCCAGTCCCCTAAAAGCGTTTTGTCTGTTTGTTGTTTTGCACCTGTTTTTCTGAGCAAATTCTAATGTGCTACACTGTTTTGGAACCACTGAGCTCCTGTTCTCCCTGTCCCTGCCCTGTGAATTCAGGGCTTACAAGGCCGGAACTGCCTCTGAACCTCTGAGACTTCCCTCTGCCATCTAGGGATTCTTCACAGCCTGGCTTCTCTGGGTCAGCACGGGGCAGGCCTGAGCTACCTCATGGTGCTCCTCAGCAGGCATCCATTCTCAACTGGCTGGACCTGTGGACAAGAAATGTCCTTTCTGATCCATTTTGTCATCTCCCCTGTGTCCCGAGAGCTGACTGATGTCTAGCAGACTAGGGAATCAGTTATGAGAAAGCCACTTTGAAGCTCTGAACTTGGTAATTCTCCCTCTCCCTCTTCCTGTTTCAGCTATCTGTGTAAACACAGGCACACACCACAGAACCGTGGGCCACAGAGCTACCTCATGGTGACATCAGAGATAGCCTGGTTTCTGTGAGCCCCTCTAAGATGCTCTCATTACACCCAGATCAGCTAATAATGCAAGTCTCAGAATGTATCCCCACCTTAATGGCACAGCTGTGCTCTCCACCCCCAATCCCACTTTCCAGGAGGAAAACCCAGGACCAGGGCATCTGTGGTTTTGATGAGGGAGGGCTCTTGCCCTGGCCTTCAGGCTGTCATGGTCTTGCTATGTTCTGACATAATAGAGAGAAGGCAGATTCTCATCCTTCCTAAGCTTGTGGAGACACTTTCCCTCTACACCTTCCATTTCTGGTCCCCCAAACTCATATCCATTCTACATAAAAAACGCATTTATTTTATCTCAGTAGCCTTGAAAGTCTGAACTCACTCTGGAATTAACTCTAAAGTTAATTCTGAAGTCTTACTTAAATGTTGTCCAAAAGGAAGATGTGGGTGAGCTGCTAGGGACAGTTCATCCTGAAGCAAGGTCCTTCCTGGCTGTGCTCTGGGAACTATAGAAGCTACATATTCCAAAACACAGTGATGTGACCACCACGAGACAGGGCAGAGATTGTCACTTCCTTAGGAAGAAACTAAAGGGATTGATGGGGCGATGGGTTCCGAGCTTAGTAAGAGACCCTGTTAAGACCAGAGCTTCTTTGGTTGGAGGCTCTGCCTTCAGACACGCTAAGGTGACCCCTGATGTTCTTCCAGGTGGCCTGTGTCCACCGTCTGGGCAGTGGACACTGAAACATCGTCCCCTCCTCTCTTCTTTGAACCGAGGCAGTCCTGAAGCTGCGAGGCCAGGTAAGCCAGGCAACCTCACTTTCCTGTTTGGAGGAACATGTCTATAGCTGCATAGCTTTGTGGGTCAGTCGAGCAGGACCTAAGACACCCACATTCTTTCTTCATTTTGCCCTGGCTCCTTCAGTTCAGATGGGCAGTTGGGGTGTGCCTAGGGTCACACACATACTTACCAAGGCTGTTCACCACACCCTTGCTGTTCTCTTCCTGATAATCCTTTATTATCATCACTATTGATGTTTTTTTACAGTTTTGGCAGGTATGGCCACATCTTTAAGCTCTGACTTCTTTTTATTTGTTTGTTTATTTGTTTGTTTTTGATATGGTCTCACTATGTAGTCCTAGTTAGCCTAGAATTTATAATGTAGACCAGGCTAGCCTTGAACTCCTGAATGCTGGGATTAAAGGTATGCACCACCACACGCAGCTCAATTTATTTCCCTCCACCCCCTTGGATTTGCTATAAGCATCCAGGAAGAACCAAGCCCCTTCTTCAACACTTTGCTTAGAAATCTCCTCAGCTAAATAACCAACTGCATCACTCACAACTTCTACCTTCCACAAAACACTGTCATACAAAGACAGCTCAGTCTGGATCTTTGATACTTCATGAGTTCTCTCTCGGTTGTTCAATAACCCTCCGTTTGTCTGAGACCTCACCAGAACTTCCCTTTCAACCCACAGTGCACGCCTCCAAACTTCTCGAGCCTCCACCCAGGAACTGGTTCTACAGCATTCGGTGCTTCTCAACACAGCTTCAGAGTTTGGGCTGTTCTAAGATCCTACAGACCGGATGGCTGAGGTGACAGGCATTTATTTCCTCCTCTCAATTTTGGAGGGTGGGAAGTGCAAGATCCAGGGTACTTAATACAGTCATATTTCATTTTATCTAAAAACTATTTTTACCCTTCTGTATTTGGGTGAATATTACTCATGTGGGTTCATGTGTGCCATGGAGAATGTGGCCCTCACAGGGCAACCTTATGAGAGCAGTTCTTTCTTTTCACCTTGTGGGTCAGGGGTCAAACTCAGGTCGCCAAGACTGGTTGGTGAAAAGTGCCTTTACCGGCTGAGCATCTCACTAATTTATTGAATACCCTCCTCCCGGTTTATTAAATTGCTCCCTGTGTTCTCACCGACAGAGGAAGAGTTCGGATCTCATCACAGGGGTTCCAACTTCACACCAAGGGCCCTACCTCCAAATAACATCACCACAGAGTTTTCAACCAATGCATTTGGGGGATGTATATATAGTCCATAACAACAACGCCATTTACAGTGAAAAGGCTTCCAAATACAGGAATTTTGTGTGCTTGGGAGTTTGGGGGCATGGTTTTGTTGTTGTTGTTGTTGTTGTTTTCCCGAGACAGGGTTTCTCTGTGTAGCTTTGCACTTTTCCTGGATCTCGCTCTGTAGACCAGGCTGGCCTCGAACCGGCTATGTCCCGCTCCCAGCTGAGGGAGCAACAGACCGATCCCAGTCTTACGGTCTTGGAAACGCCAGCGCGCTGTTCGGCAGGGTGGCCTTCCTGCGCCTCAGTTCCAGCACTTGTAGAACACAGAGAAAAGCCGCTCTGAGGACTAAACTGTTAGGAGGCTTGTAGACCCCCCAGGATCTGTGAACAAAAGGACTCGAGAAAGGCCAGCTCTCCCTACTAGCCCTCACAACTCCAGTCGCCCCACTCTGCCCCTGTCTACACCTCCGTTGACTGATCTGTAAGATGGGAACCGTAGTACTGATCAAGAAAGTAAACTGTACTGTAATCAGTCATGTCTACAAATGTTGATGGACATGTGCTACACTCCGACTCCAGGGATTCTAGCGCTGGCTCACCAGGCACCTTCTCTGGTCTCATGCTCCAGTGAACCCCAGGACCCCTTTCCTGACACCAGGCTATCTGGAAGTCGTCTTCCTGTTAAGGGAGGTCCATAGGACCCAGAAAACCCACAGAGGGTGTGTCTACCACTAGGGGCTGGTGGTAAGCGACCTCGGGGTTTGCAGTCCGGTTATTTCCAGGAAGAAAATAGAAATTTCTGCCCAGGAGGCCAGAGCCCTGCAGCAAGCAGAGTTATCTCCAGGCCGGCTTCCTGCTGCGATAACAGCAACAGCGGCCCAGGGCACCAAGGGAGCCTTAGCTCGGCCTAGGACTCTGCAGCCGCGCCCCTCCAGCCTGGAGGCGGTGAAGTGACCCTAGCCCGCATCTCCTCGCTCTCCTGGCCCGCACCCGAGGGGTCGCCCCTTCCGGCGATGTTGTTCCCACCCGCCAAGTTGCTCCCACCTGCGAGGTCTCCCAGTCAGGTACTCACTCTGCAGACAGCGGGCGGCGGCCACCCAGAGCGCGAGCAGCCCCAGCGGGATGCCGCGAGTCCTCCTCCCGCACCACGGCGGCCTCATGAAGGAGCAGCCGGCGGCACCGGCCCCGCATGGGCCTCGGGGAGGTAGCTGGGCCGACTGCTCGCCCTCCGCACCCCGCACTGCGCCAGCCTGGCCTCTCTAGCCTCAGCTCCGCAGCTCTGCACGTCCCAGCTCCTGCAGCTGCTTCAGCGCCAGACAGAGGTAGATGAGCAGGTTGTACTCTGGTTGAACCAGTTCCCAGGAGAGAGGGAAGAAAGGAGGAAGGGAAGAGGGAGGGAGGAGAGAAGGAAGGACTATGAATATGGAAAGATATGGGATAATAGGAAGGCAGGCACTCTGAGGCACTAATGGCAAATAATGAGCAATTTCCTGAGAGTCACACCCACTGTATCAATTCAAGGTTCAGTGCAGGGAGGTGGCTAGGAGAGAGGGCTAACTGTTGCCCGAGGACCCAAACCGACAACCTGAAGACTTCATGGGCAAGGGGAGGTTTTTAGGAAAGCCAAGTGACAGCCAGAGGTGGGGGTGAGCAGTAAGAGGTGATAGAGGGGAAGACTCAGCCTGGCTCTGTGTGGAGTATATGGACAACAATGCCATCCGTCCGTCCGTCCGTCCATCCATCCATCCATCCATCCATCCATCCATCCATCCATCCACCCATCCAGGAAAGGGCTCTCTCTGAAAGCTGCTTACTGCTCAGGACCTGGCACAGGTGGGCATTTTGGTCCCTCATAGGACAGTGGTGGAATGACGTCAGCACCGAGCTGGATACAACCACACTGATTTGGAAAGCCCCTAGAGGTGGCCCACACCTGCAATCCTAGCGTTCTGGAAGCAACAGGAGTGACTAGGTACTTTAGGAATCCTAGCAAGGGGTGGGGCCTGGAGACAATGATCAGCTGCTATATAGTCTGCCTGTTCCTGTTAAAATGAAGAACCAGAATGCTGTAGGGCTAGAGCAAGAGCAACTGGCCTCCAAGGGGGGTGGACCGGTATGTGAAGATACGAAGAAGGGGAAACTAGTACTGATCCAAGCTAGTTGTGGCATTCTAGTCTACTTTGTCAGAACTAGATTTCCTCACCTCCCTTGCAGCCAGGGGACAGCAGTATGAACAAGTGACCGTAACACTTAAAGGAGAAGTGTGCCATTAGTGTCTCTGGAAAAGGTTTTTGCTTTTCTGGTAAAGGGATAGAAAAGGCTATGCATTGAAGCATTCTTTCCTGAAAGGAGGAGGCTCACAGCACACAAGCAACTTATAAGACTCAGGGTGCCAGGGCATGTACACAACTCTTGGGTTATATGAGCAGTAATAGTTGCCAGGGGAGAGGAGACTTCCATGGAGCTGCAAGCAAGCTGTGCAGGGAACTCCCGCGATGCAGCTGGCGTGGGCTTTTCTGTAATCCAGCTGCTCGAGTCACCCATGCTCCCTACCCTTGCTAATGTAATCAACTTCAATGAACTCATTGGCTCACCATCTAGGACTTGGAATTCTTTCTTTTTGATCTGTGGTGGATAGAAGTAGTCTCTCCAGGAAAAGCCACAAAGCTCTACCCTGCCTTGAAGACATTCCTTTTCCCTAGATCTGTGGCCCCTGTCATACTTCATGAAGTTTCAAGTGAGGACAAGCCTCTCTAAGTAAGGATGGAGGAACAGAGAGACAGGAAGTGCCCAGGAGACCATGGCATGTAGCATGCCCTCTTATGTCCTTCTTGCTCTTAGCGAGCTCCTTGTTAATTCCACATCATGTTAGTTACTTTTGTAATGGAGAAAAGGTTGAGTTTGGCTCACAGTTCCACGGTACAGTCCACTGTGGCAGGGAGCCGTGGTGGCAGGAACTGAGGAGGCAGGCACTACATGGCATGCAGGGAAGATTCAGAGAGGGACAAATGCTGGAGCTCAGCTTGTGTTCTCCTTTCCGTTCGGTCCAGGAGCCTAGGCCCTGGGATGGTGCCACTCCAAGTTAAGGTGGGTCTTCCCACCCCAATTAACTGAATCTAGATAATCTCTTACAGGTGTGCCAAATGGCTTCTTTGCAAGGTGATTCTAGAACCATTAAGTTGATGGTTTTAACCATCACACACATGATCCTTGTGAGAACAACAGTAGTGGTACCCTGTGAACTGCAGTCAGGAAGGGATGTGACCAGGCTAGCCACTCACAGTGTCCTCTTCACCAGCCCAAGTGTTGGCTCATGGATGGAAAGATGACATCATCTGGAACACCCCTGGGAGTGTCATGTGGCCATTGCTGGGGTTGCTAAAGCACAGGACATGACCCTGTAGGTATTAGCAGGCCATGTCTGTCACGTGAGAGGTCCTGGACTAAGAATGAAGCCAAGTCGGTCATGGTGACTCACACTTGTAATCTCAGCACTCAAGAAGCTGAGGCAAAAGGATTGCAAGTTTAAGGCCAGCCTGGGCTACATAGCAAGACCCTCTTTCAAAAATAATAACTAAGCCGGGTGGTGGTGGCACATGCCTTTAATCTCAGCACTCAGGAGGCAGAGGCATGAGGATCTCTGAGTTTGAGGCCAGCGAGTTCCAGGACAGCCAGGCTACACAGAGAAACCCTGTCTCAAAAAACCAAACCAAACCAAACCAAAAAAACAAAACAAAACAACAAAACAACTAAATAAAAATATTTTACAAGCTGGGATGAAACAAGCTGGGCTGGGAGCCTGGGAGAGATGCAGATACGGTGTGTGCTCTGGGGGTTGACTCTTTCACCAGCTGGCAGCCGATAAATGTTTGTTGTTTTTGTTTTCTTCTTGAGCAGGATTTCTGTGACATAAAGCTATGTAAGGGGGAATAAGTTCGAGACATCTACTGTATAGCGTAGCACACAATGGTAATTGATGAGGAAATGTTGTGTTGAGTGAGTGCTGAGTGGGTGGGTGCCCTCATAATGCAAACGATGACTATGTGAGGTGTGTTACTTTACCTAGATTTAACCAGCTCATACTATACACATACTTTAAAACATTAGGTTGTGCACAATAACTACTATTTGTTAATTTAAAAAAAATAAAAAATAAAATGTATGTGTGTGTGTGTGTGTGTGTGTGTGTGTGCGCTCAAGTGCAGGTATGTGCACACATGTGCATGCCAGAAGTCAAGATCAAAATCTCTGGTTTCTCTCTACTGTATTTTCTGTTGTTTTTTTTTTAATTTACTTAACTTTATTTCATGTACATTGATGTGAGGGTGTCAGATCTCCTGGAACTGGAGCTACAGACAGTTGTGAGCTACCATGTGGGTGCTGGGAATTGAACCCAAGTCCTCTGGAAGAGCAGTCAGTGCTCTTAACTGCTGAGCCATCTCTCCAGCTCCCTGTATTTTCTGTTTTGAGACAGAGTTTCTCCCAGAACTAAGAGCTCATTGATTCTGCTATATTGCATGGCCAGCAAGTCTCCTGTACCTACCTCTCTGTTGGGATTACGGATGTGTACTGCCATGCCCAGGTTTGTTTTTGTTTTTGTTTTTGATGTAGGTCCTGGGGATCTGAATCCAGGTCTCTCTGCTTGCACAGCATCTTTACTGGCTGAGCCATCTGTCAAGTTTTCCCAGTTAAAAACCCCAGCCTTATAGTCAGCATCTGAAGTGTTCGCCTTGGGGTTGTGTTCGGCATGCTCATTCTCCATCTAGTGGTGCTTTTGGGGCGTGCTTCTGGAACCTTTAGGAGATGGAGCCTAACGCAGCCCCCTAGGGTTAGACATTTGGTAGTTGCCTAGTCCAGTTTCCTGCCTTATTCTGCCTGATCTGCTATGATATGACAGTGTCCTCCACACAGGCTCACTGGAATGAATGGAGCTGTCCTGCCTGCCTTCTCCTCTGTGATAGACTGGAGCCCTCTGAAGCTGTTAGCCTGAGTAAATCCTGGTCCACCAAGTTGTTTCTGTCAGATACTGTGCTCACAGGGTACAAAACTAATGAATATGCTTACAACCAACCATCTATAAAGTCAAAGAGTCAGTCATCTTCTATTTTGAATCTTATCAAAATTTGGATAAAGAGAGGGGCTAGAGGTAGAATGCGATGGTAGACCCTTTGTCTAGCATCTTGAAGCCCTGAATTTGATCTTAAGCACAGGAAATAAAACACACCAAAATGTTAGAAACCATTTTTAAGTTGAGAATCTCATGACTGAAACAAGGGGTTTTCTAAATGTTTCTGTTTCCCATATCCTTTGCATTTATTTGTTAGTTCATTAAACATTTACCCAGAAGGTCCTGTAGCTGGCACCATGGGCACTCCAAAGATGAATGACTCATGGATCTACGTTCCAAGGGACTCACACACTGATGGAGATTCAATGACTCAAATTATGAAAGGCCTCTAGGCCCATAGTCCCTTTCTATGGAGCTCAAGGTCAAAGGAAACATTTCGTTTTGCTCACTGCCATTAACCTGGTACCTGACATGTGGTAAGCACTTAGTGACTGTTTGTCAAATAAGTGAATGAACTAGGAAGGCTAAAGCTCAGAAACACAAGTCAAAAGGAAGACTCCCTTGAGATGAAAATCTGGTAGAAAGTAGACGATTCAGTAATGCTCTGAATTCCTCCTCGGCCTGCCACCACCTGTCTCTCTGGCCATGGAGGAGAGATATGGACCTCTGACAGGTTTAAACTGCATCCAGCATCCAGCAAGGAGTTAGAAAACGCACCACAGTCCATGCCGCACTCCAGTCAGATGTCCTGGGAGTGGGGTTGCATGAGTTGCTTGTCTTGTTCCCGAGACAAAATACCTGCCGAAGCAACCTAAGGAAGGAAAGGTCTATTTGGCTCCCAGTTCAAGGGTATCATCATTCCACCAGTGTGTGAACATGGCTCAAAAATGAACTCCAAGAAACTAAGACTCTTGTGACCTCAGTTTCTTCAAAGACACAGACTTGGTCTTGGATTATGCTTTCATACCCCTCCCAGGTGTATCAGAGAGGAATGAGTTCTCCTCATATTATTCATTACAACTGGCTATAACAAGTTGTTTAGATGCCTCTGCAGAGAAACATGTTTCTGCCACATGCAGCCTGTCTACCATGTGCAGCTTGCCTTCGTGATTGTACACTTGATTCATGCGGCTCTTCTTAACAGAGTATACATTGTCTGATGCTCTGAAGAAGTCTGTCTATCCCAGACTTTAGTCTGCCTCATTTATTGGCTACACTTTCCCAGGTCCCACTGCTTCTAGAGCAGTAAACATA